AGCCAGTTGGGTACTCACCAATACACTTGAAATTAAGAAAGAGACTCATTTTTGCGGGACTTTTTTTAGTACATATTATAGCTGATATCAAGACTTTTTAGAATATATATTCAGAGTTCTCTAGCCAGAAGCCGCTACTGAGATATCAGTGTTTTTCAAACAATCTCCTGATTCAGACCAAAACGGCCTGATCTTGATTTCTTACCAAGAATCAGTGACCATGAATCTTGAAAAATTTTTCAGATCAGGTCATTCTAATCTGAATCTTATTATTGATTGTATAGGGTCAGAATCTGATAAGATTGATCTGAAATCAAGATTCTGTCAGAAATGATCTCAAGATTGTCGACTTGTGAACTGTATTAGAATTGTAAAATTTAAGGAAACTGTCACATCTAATGAGTAGTCTGTTGACAGTCAGTCAATGACTCATGCCTTCTATAGCAGATCACGAATCCCGTGATGCACTTTAGAGTGGTACTGGATTTCAGGAGCTCATCTCTTCACCATATGCTTTCCTTCTAAAAAGATTAAGAATCGAAGTGTCGAATGTCTCTGACAAGAAGGAATAACAATGTTTCGCTAACGACATCTGCTGATTTTTAAACATGTCATATTTAATAAGCCTAGCTCGTCCGTAATGGCGGCCAGCACCAAGAAGGAGGAACAGGGGCCAGGAGACACTTTTATAAAAAAGAATCAAAAACTGAAAGTCCAGTCCAATCGGTGGATAACATTTGATTTACTCCTTAGTCGCTTTTATTTTTAGTTTTCTTTAATAAATTGTAGTTTCGCTCGTGTCTTACTCAAACATAGAAATCTTGCTACCCGGTAGCAAGATTTCGCTTTTTAACTGAACTAGCCTAGTTCAGTTAAAAAGCGACAGGCTGGGTTGTTGCAGTGTTTATCTGTGCCAAAATTGCGAGCTGCATGAAAGAAAAGCCAAGGCTAGTACGGATCATCTTCTTGTGATCAAATATGACTTACATTCTGCGAAAAATCTCTTTAATTCTCTTAAGTTTTTCAAAAGTAGCCAAAATCTACCAAAGAGGTCCATGCATTATTTTGTAATTCATTATAAGTAACGCTTTTTCCTTAAAACTTCCTTGCTATTATCAGCTAAATATAACACAGCTCTGCACTTCTAATGCATTTGGTTAACTTCAGTCAATTTTTTGCTTAAGTGTTAAGTCTAAGTTAAGTTGTCCTTTGTGAAACACACTTAAGTCCGACTTATCTTCGATTTCGATTTTGCCTTAAGTCATGCGTTTAAGTTAGACTTAAGTTTTTTCGTGAAACGAGCACCAGTTTCTTAAAAAAACTTAAGTAGAAAATCTGACTTAAGTCTCTCTTAAGTGTTTCTTAAAAAAACTTAAGTCAAACTTCCCACTTAAGTTTTCATTTAACTTAAGTTGTCGTTCGAGAAACACACTTAAGTCGAATCTTAAGTTTGACTTTAGTGCGACTTGTTTTTTCACTTAAGTTTTTTTAAGAAACTGGCCCCAGATTATCCTTGTTTGTTTACTGTTCTATTTTGCAGTTCAGCAGAGGTGACGTTACTGGGGTGGGGAGCGTGACACTCCCCCAATCTTATTAGTATGTTACACCTGAGCAATACATAGCCACTCATTACAATATAGTGATCGACTAACAAGTAGATTGCCTGCACTAAAGCATGGCGTATTAGAACAATTGAGAGAATGATCAACGGATGAGAATCGATATACATAAAAATTATTGTTTTGATCGTGTAAAATCTGTTTTCTACAAATTGTTTAACAATTAATAGTATTAAAAGCCGATGATTAAACATACTTATTATGAACATAACATAACCATTTAGAAAGTGATCATACATTCAATTAAGAAGAATCATGTGCTAATTGGTTTGGTTTTTGATATAATTAACTGGGTACATGATTTGGAATCGACTACAGTAACATATTCTTTTCATTTATGTGTATATATTGAATATACACATAAATGAAACACATTTTATCATTCTTACTTATACTATTTGCTTATGCGTCAATACTTTATGACATATTTTCGGTAAAATAATATAAACTTTATAAATATTGTATTTATAAATAGCCGATACGAGAGAAGTTGCCGTCAGCAACTGAAAGCAGCTAATTAGACCTTTTAACATGCAGCAGTCATACACATCTACTAGATAGAAGACGTTTTTTCGTCTTCAAAATACGTGACTCACCGTACATAACATACTATTAATAAGTGACACCCCCCTCTCCCCAAAGTTCGAAGGGTCGCGACAGCTCTGCAGTTCAGTTTCACTCTGTCATTCGCATGTGCAAGCACTTCACTTATTCGACTGTGGCTTTCGACTGTGAGGTATGCTCACCTTCCAAGACAGTATTGTTTTATATCTCTATTTTCTTTTGTTCACAGCGAGATGGATCTTTATTCGAACCAAGGACAGTGCTTCTTCAAATATCCGATACAACCAATGATTACCTGATTTTTCCAGATGAATTAGATCCGAAAATCATTAGAAAATTGAACGAAATTACAAGTGATCCAAATATTTTGAAAGTAAGTAACTTAAACTGTTTTGTAACAATTGCAAGGTACTATCTTTAGGTGATACATGATATTCGGGAACGACTCTAAGTATTTGTCCAAAGATTTTGATTTACATCTGGTTAACGTATATGATACACACGTCGTTGCTGAAATGTTATTCGGTGGCTCAAAATATTTAGATTTAGTTCTGCATTAGTGCAAAGTGGATACATAAATCAAAGAAAAATATCAGCAATATACTCACAGTATGTTCCCATTGTCTATGCACTATTCGAAATTACTCTACCATTTTATTTGGACCGTTTGCAGACGAAGCTCTTTTATGTGCTCAAATGGATACTCACTACTCGATACGATTTTATGAAGAACTAATGAATGATATTGAAACAATGGGACGAACAGAAGAAGTTAAGGATGAAATATCTAAACGATTATGCCAGGTAGCTCTATCGCTCGCATGAGTCGCAATTTCGCATCTAAACGTGTGCACTCATATTATTTAGGTGCACTCGTATCGAACATATCGAGCACGATGGCAGCATTGTATCAATCAGATTCGAAAGAATAACACACATCTTGTTGAGTTAGAATGAAAGTCAACAACAAACATTTGCAGCGGCTCATAAATGGCGGTTTCTCTTGCACAAAGACTTGGAAAAGTTGAAAAGTGAGGGAAACCAGCTGAAGTGACCGGTTACAAATAAATTTATTTGTTTACACTTGTGCTGCCAAATAAATTATTGTATGAACTCAGAGCAAATTGTAGGTAAATAATATTAGCTAAAGGGATATAAGTACCTTTCATTTTTAGATCATTGTTAGACGTAAAAAAATTATTATCACAAAGCCGAATTCACCAAATTCATGGCGATCTTGTTGTTCAATTACAGAGTATACTCTTTCCTGTGACATTTTCTTCAGCTACTGTTATCACAAACAGTGATTTTCGTCCAGATAGTTTTTCTCGAACTAGTCCATTTGCAGTGGAACAGAACGAGTAAGTGACAGGTATCAGAGGTATTATATTTTTGTTATTGCCCGTGTTTTAGCAATGAATTCTTGTTATGTGTCGAAGAGAATTACAGTTGGTATGAAACTGAAGAAGTTCTCGAGCATGAAAATGCTCTTGAGAAGATGAATCATTCATCAGATCACAAGATGGAGGCAACCTCACACAAAAATAGAAGAATAACATCACATTCAAGTCAACAAAGTACGTGTTGCGGCGTTTTTTCTGTAAATCGGTTGCTGATGGGCCATAGTGCGATCTTGAAGTTGAGCAAGTTTTCAAAACATTCATGATGTTTATTTTTAGGTAAAACAAAGAAAAAATATAGAAATGGGACAAAGAAGAGACAAGGGAATTGGAATTTATCCATGTGTAATCTACGTTGGAATTGTAAAGTACAACAGATTTTACGTATGTTTTGAAGACGACAATGTTATTTAAAGATTCGTATCGAAATGCAATATGATAGCTATGAACGTTTTACCAGTTTGGCATTCATTCATGTACCAGAAAAAGATTTAAATAATATATTACAGTCTCATTTTGTTCGTCCATTCTCACTCATCGAACACAAAGATCATCATTTGAAAATGAAAAGAATCGTTTCATCCACCGATAAACTGACTCGTTTATCGATATCCACTCACATTCGAATCGTATTTGCACCCATGTGTAACGGTGTTTCAACAAATATAATCAAATCTTGGTTTGAATATTTTGGAACCATCAGAAATGTATCATCTTATTTTGATGAATCATTAATGCGAACAGTAGCCAACATCAATTATGAAAAATTCGATTCTGTTAATAAAATCATTACATCATCACCACTCGATCCATTATTAATGGAAAGCGTATCAAAAATAGTTAATGGAATGGATGAAAACAATCCAGCAATGCAAAAACAACGTGAAAGAGTGAACGATATGATTCGTAAACAAATACATTATCATTTAACAAAATAAGCTTCGGACGCTAAAGAGAAATTTCTTCATGAAAACTAGGGATGTTAATTTAGTGTTATTTTAGAAAATAAATATAAATGAGTTCTCGCTCTTTTTGGCTGTTTCGCGCCGTACTTAATTAATGAGACTTTTAATGAGAGATGTTGACGCCGCTTTTAATATTTCTATAATCATTCTACTTTGCTGTGACCTGTTTATTTCATTTTCGACAATTGCAGCTCACATCATTAAATGTCCTAATTTAGTATGTGGACTATGCTATAAAACCAATAGTAGAACATCGAATTAAAACTCAATGCAGCTACGCCTGCGACATCTAATATATGTTACCTCCGGTGGAAATTAAGAAACAACTTT